GCCGCCGCGGGAGCCCCTCCTCCCGACCCCTGTCCCTCCCCCCTGTCTCCTCCCTGCGTCGCACCAGGTTGTTCCGTCCCCTCAGGTAGTCGTGTCTAGTCTAGTCGCTGCGTCTTGCTCCTGCCGGTCCCTTGCCCACCCCACCGTTCCGTGGCACCACCGGATGGGGCACCCGTCGCTCCCTCGTCTTCGCGCCATGTCTAGTCAGCGTCTTGTCCTAGGCCTCCCGCGTGTCTTGCCGTCGCTGCCGCCCTCGCTTGCGCCTCCTTGCGGTCCTTGCGTCGAGGGTCGGCTGCGCGCCACCCCTCACTCCTCCTCCCTTCGTCCGGCCATCGAGCCTTTTGAGACGCTCCACTTGGACGTCTGGGGCCCCTCTCCTCGCCCTGGCCCTGAGCGTGAGCGTTTCTTTTTGGTGGTCGTTGACGACTACTCCCGCTACACCACGGTGTTCCCCCTGGCGAAGAAGTCTGAGGTGACTTCTACGCTGATCAGGTGGTTGCTTTCCACTGCGGACACTCGTGGTCGTCGTGTCAGCTGTCTGCACTCTGACCGTGGGGGTGAGTTTCGCTCAGGCATTCTCGCTGGATTCTGTCGCGAACAGGGCATTCGTCAGTCCTGGACGCTTCCGGAGTCCCCACAGCAGAATGGGGTTGCTGAGCGCCGCATAGGCTTGGTCATGGAGATTGCGCGCACCTCCTTGACTCACGCCCGTGCCCCCCATTTTCTGTGGCCCTACGCGGTTCGGTACGCCGCACACCAGCTGAACCTCTGGCCTCGTGTCTCTCGGCCAGAGGTTTCACCGACCAGTCTTTGGACCGGGTCCCCTGGTGTTGCGTCGAGGTTTCGTGTCTGGGGTTGCTTGGCTCTTGTTCGCGACACCTCCGCGGACAAGCTCTCGCCTCGCGCCGTTTCTTGTGTCTTCCTTGGTTTCCCTGAGGACTCCTCTGACTACACCTTTTACCACCCTCCTTCTCACAGGTTCTTTGACTCCCGTGACGTTCGTTTTGAGGAGTCCGTCCCCTTCTACGTCAGGTACCCCTCTAGAGGTCTCCCGGTTCCTCCCCCTCCTCTCTTCCTGGCTCCCGCCCCACCTCTTGCTCCCCCGGTACACCCTCCCCCCCCTGGTCCGGCCCCGTCAGGTGTGTCCCACGCTACCCCTCCCCCCTCGGTAGCCCCTCAGGTACTGTCTCCTTCCCCGCAGTCCTCCTCGCAGCCTGCTGCAGTCCCGGCCGGTGCTCGCTCTAGAGGAGTTGGAGTTGGAGTTCAGAGCGTACCTGCGCTGGGCCCTGGTTCTGGGGGTGCTGGAGTTGCGGGTGAGCTTGAGACTGCAGGAGAGTCTCCGCTTCCGGGAGGTGGTGCTGGTGACACGTCTGGGGGTGACACGTCTAGGGGTGCAGTTTCTGGTGAGCATGGCCAAGTTGCGGTTCCTGGTGCTGACTCTGGGGGTGGTGCACCTGGTGTTCCTGGTGGCGGTCCTGCGTCTGCTGCCGCCCAGGACGCTACACCTCCTCCCCACCCCTACCCGACCCGCCACCAGGCTCGTGTTCGTCGTGCGCGTGAGGAGCAGTTGGAGTTGGAGAGAGAGGAGAGAGAGTTGCAGCAGCTGGTGGAGCAGCAGCAGCAGCAGCAGCAGCAGCAGCCGGGGCAGCCGTCGCAGGAGCAGCGGCCGCCACCTCCTCCTCCTGTCTCTGGTCTTCGGGCCCTCGGTCTCCCCTCTCACTCTCCTTCCTCCTCCCCCTCTCCTCCTGTCTCTGGTCCTCCGCTTCCTCCTCCTGACCCTTCGCCTCCTGTTTACGGCCCCACGTTTCCTCCTCCTGACTCCTCCCCTGCTGTCTTCCCTCGTTCTCCCCCTCAGTTGTCTGTGACTCCTTCCCACACTTGGACCTCCCATCGCTCTCCTCGGGCTCGTCCTTCGTCCCCTGTTGCTCTCACTGACCTCCGTACTGCCCTGTTCCGTTCTCGTCCGCCCAGTTCTCCTCCTTCTGTACTTCCTTCTCCTCCTGATTCCGCCCTCACTGCTTCTCTCTCTACTCCCGTCACTGACCACTACAGTACCTACCGTCCTGTCCTCTCTCGAGTTCTCGCCTCTCTTGTTACCCACCCACGTGCCTCTCTGTCCTCTGTCTCCGCTCTTACTGCCGCAGTCACTGAGTTTGCCTCTACTCGCCGCCTTGACTACGCCACCGCTCTTGTGGCTGCTCCTCCTTCCAGTCCTCTGGCCGTCATGGGTGAATTTGCCCTTGGCTGTGACGCCCTAGAGGACAGGCAGTTTGAGCTAGAGTTCCTGGCCGCCGCTTCCCCTCATCTCTGTGCCATGCTCCTCTCCCCTGAGGGAGACCCCGACGCCCTTGACATACCGACTCCTCGCACTTACGCTGAGGCAGTGTCAGGGCCTTGGGCCTCTCAGTGGAGAGCTGCCATGGACGCAGAGATGGCTTCCTACAGATCCACAGGCACCTACGTCGACGAGGTTCCCCCCCCTAAGGCGAACGTAGTCGATGGCATGTGGATCTACAGGGTGAAGCGGCCACCAGGATCTCCTCCCGTCTTCAAGGCGCGCTACGTGGCTAGAGGTCTTCGTCAGGCTCCTCGTGAGTGGCACGACACACTTCGTTCTACCCTGTCTGACCTTGGTTTCCAGCCGTCTTCTGCTGACCCTTCACTGTTCGTTCGTCGAGGTACCACACCGTTCTTTGTTCTTGTCTACGTCGACGACCTAGTGTTCGCTACTGCTGACAGGGTTGCCTTGGCAGACGTGAAGTCCGAACTGCTGAAGAGACACACTTGCACTGACCTTGGTGAGCTGCGCCACTACCTTGGCTTGCAGATCACCAGGGACAGAGCTGCTCGCACCATCACACTCTCTCAGTCACACGTGGTGCAGCAGGTCCTTCAGCGGTTCAGGCTTCAGCACTCCACAGTGTAGCGCACACCTCTTGCTGTTGACCACAGACTCACTGGTCCTTTTCCTGACGAGCCGTTCGAGCCTAGTGGTCCCTACGCAGAGCTTGTGGGTTGCCTCATGTACCTGATGACTTGTACTCGCCCGGACCTCGCTTTCCCTCTCAGCATCCTTGCGCGCTTTGTTGCGCCAGGGAGACACCGTCCTGTTCACTGGACGGCAGCTGTGAGGGTGGCGAAGTACCTAGCGACGACATCAGGCGTGGGGCTAGTTCTTGGAGGGCAGCAGTCTGTCGCACTTACTGGTCACTGTGACTCTTCTTACGCTGACGACGCTGAGACTTACAGGTCTACTCAGGGTTACTGTTTCATTCTGAGTTTTGGAGCTGTTTCTTGGAGGTCCACGCGCTCCTCCTCGGTCTCGACCTCCACCGCTGAGGCTGAGATCTACGCTGGTGCCATGGCGGCACAGGAGTTGCGTTGGTTGACCTTCTTGCTCACTGACCTTGGTGAGAGGCCGAGCTCTGCACCGACCTTGTTCTCTGACAACAAGGCATCGATTCTCCTTTGTCGTGAGCCACGACTGGAGAGCAGAGTGAAGCACATCAATGTCAGGTACTTTCTTCTGCGAGAGTTACAGAGGCGTGGACAGGCTCGTTTCGAGTTTGTGGAGTCCGAGGCCAACACTGCAGACATCTTCACCAAGGCACTTCCGCCTTGTGATCACCAGAGGTGTTGTGTGCAGTTAGGCCTTGTTGACACCAGTTCTCGTCTTGTGTAGACTTGAGTTGACTGTTTGTTTTGCTTGTACACTTGCTGTATATCTTTGTGAGTTCTTGGACTGGCCTTGTGGCCCCTGGTGTTTGTGCTCAGAGTGTGTGGTGACGTTGTGATCCACCCTGAGCTTTGTTTCTTTTGGACTGGTCTTATGACCGTACTCTGTAGGTCTTTGTTCGACACCCCTCACTTAGGCTATGGGGGTGTGTCAAATGTGTAGCCTGTAGTGAGGCTTGTCTTAGGGGGTACATCTGTTAGGGTTTCTATATGTACCCCAACCACATCAATGAAACACAACATTCTCTCATTCTAACAAAATCATAGCCTTGAGGCGCCTCAGGTATAGTCACACTGCTTGGCACCGGTCCTCTTGAATCATATCCTGCACTCTCTCCAGTAGCACTTCATACGTCTCAGTCACCTCTATCTTTGCCCCTGACATTCTATGATAGAACCTCTCATATGATCTCCCCGCACCCTCCCCTTCCTTCGAGAAAAAAAAAAATATAATATTCTACCCACCCCAGTAATTTGACAGCACGGACGTTCCCCCTTGCACATTGATAAAACAAGAGCTCCGGGCCATCATTCTAAACTGAACCTCGTTGAAACTTAGGCCCGGCCAAGCCTCGTGAATCTGCTGCATGGTTCGGAACCGAGCCTCCGAACCAAACTCCTCAGCCAGCTTCGGCTGCCATCTCTCCTCGGGTGGTCATCTGTTGCCGCCCACTGCTCTCTCACCATCTTCACCTTGCCGTTCAGGTGGGCCTTTGCCATCAGGTGAGCCTCAGTTGCCATCAGGTGAGCCTCTGTTGCCATCAAGTGAGCCTCAGTTGCCATCAGATGAGCCTCTGTTGCCATCAGGTGAGCCTTGCCATCAGGTGAGCCGCTGTTGCCATCAGGTGAGCCTCTGTTGCCATCAGGTGAGCCTCTGTTGCCATCAGGTGAGCCTCTGTTGCCATCAGGTGAGCCTCTGTCGCCAACTTTTGGCAGCCCCAATTACCCTTCTCTCCCTCTGTTGTGCTGGTCCCCCTCTACTCTTGACAATCAATCAATGACATCATTCCTCCCCATGCCCTTCCCATGACCCTCCATGACCCTCCTATGCCCTCCTATCCCTGACCATCGATGTACAATCTAGAAAGCAGCATTTGGACAGGGCAGTGTGGAGCAGCGAGAGAACGCGCAGCAGAGGGACAACACACAGCAGCGGGGTAGTGAACTGGAAGCAACGAGTTTAAGTAACGGCTACAACTGGGTTACGAGGAAGACTGGTGGTGAGGCACGGCAGGGAGAGTCAAATCGCACAGGGTGCGTGCGATATGGCAAGAGTAGGAGCGAATGGTGCAGGTGCAACAGGCGGTGGTGCTTCCAGCAGCTGCCAACACTGCAGTTTTTGGAGCAGTATAGATTCGATAACAGCAGCCACGGCAGGACTGCATGGAGAGGGAGGAGCAATGGTGCTCTCAGTGACGGCACATGCAGCACTGCAGGAGTTGGGGGTGCTGCAGGGGTGTGCAGGCACAGCAGCCCGTGGTGCCTCCCATTCACCCCAAGAGGCGGATGCAGCCCTGGAGAAGAGCAGTGCAGTGCAGCAAGGGAGTGGGAGATCACCGCCAGGCAAGGGAGGCAAGGGGTTGAGTGCGGTGCAGCAGGGTGCAGGGGTGCAGCCGGGTGCGGGGGTGCTAGGGGGGGTGGGTGTGCTGGTGGTGGACGATGCATCGGTGAACCTGCTGGTGGCGCGCCGCACTCTCACTCGCAGCGGCGCCACCGTCGCCACCGCAGCCAGCGGGGAGGAGGCGCTGCGGCGAGCCAAGCACGCGTTGGGTTTGGGGGGCAGCACACACCACGTGGAGCCTGCTGAAGGAACCTTCGCTGCACAGGGTGTGGACACGCACGTGGATGTGGTGCTCATGGACCTGCAGATGCCCCTCATGGACGGGTGAGTCGTGTGTGTCTTGTGATGAAAATAGCAAGTATGAGTTTGATCATAATAATAGTAACAGTGATGCTGTAATCCAAGGAGGATAGTAGTGTTGACTAATATATTATTGTTCCATCTTGTAATTTTTGTTTGTTTGCATATGCTACTCAGTACCATGCCTTTCCTCATGCCCCTTGCTCCCTCCTCCATCTGCCCATGCTCCTGTCGTTCCATCCCAGCTTCGCGGCAACAGAGGCCATACGAGCATATGAGACCACCATAGCCCTTCAACATACATCAACCTCGGAAGCTGTTGTTGAAGCATCCGTTAACGAAAGCACATAACGGGGAAACAAAACTCCAACATTTGCCACTGTTCCGGCAGTCCGCTCTGTGCCTCGGCTACTCATAGTTGTTGAAGGAATTTGGCCCTGCCCTCGCATGGGCAAAACTGACTTCGTGGTCGGGTGTGCGGGAGGTGCAGCCGACCTTCTGCAGGTCTACAAGGGTTGCCGTGGAGATGCTGCGTTGACAGGTCGTCAACTTTGTCGTGCTGGCGATCGACCTGCCTGAGTGCTAGCAAACCTTGCATGTGATGTAGTCAATCTTTGCCATTGCATGTTCATTCTGAACTCTGTTATTCTCAACTTTCCTTAGTGAAACTCTTGCTGTTTTGCCCTGTGAAAACACAAGTCCTAGAGAACACAGACAGAGCTACGATCACTCCTACAACTTGTGCCAACCCTGTAGTCTAGCTCCACCGTTGTAGAGTTAATCTCCACAATAGTGGCGCTCACAGCAGATGTGAATGATAAGGTCACTCGGCGCTGCCTTGCGAGTGGCTTTGATGGCATTCTGCAGAAGCATGTCGACCCGAAGCTGCTCTCGCAGCAGCTGCTGCTGCGCATTAATCACCAACACGGATTGGGTCACATGCTCAGCACTTCACTGCCTGTTGATGTTGAAGCTGTACCCTTGTTAACAGACACAGTAAGAGCAGTCACCAATGCTATTTGATGTGCTTGAGAACAGCTGCGGTTTCAATCTCAATCGATTAATTTTATTTATTTACTGCGAAGCCGGTCCATGAGTATTCAAGGCTTTGTTGACACAATGGTTATTCCTATCAAGAGGTCGTCTGGTGTTGGCGGCATGTACCATGTATGATTTCAGCAAACTAACCAATATTTCAAGTTTGCACTGTTCTGTTGCTGGTGTATAATGATTAGTTGTCCATGACTTCTAAAATATTCTTTTTGTGGCCTCATCATCATGGCACTCAGCAGTGCCACTCGCTTATAACAGAGTACCGTATTCCCCCGGACATACCACCCCCCGAAATAGAGCACCCCCCGGGTGGCTTGTGCGGGGGGGGTGCTATAGCGGGCCTCGTTTCTACTATACCCCCCCTTTTGGGGGCATCCTATATAGCACCCGGGAGGGGGTGTTATGTACGGGTATAATTGCAGTTTTTGCCTAAGTAGCACAGGGTTTCCAATGATAATCCATCTACAAGTTAACATTAGCAGAAACAAGCTACATCTCCAGCAATACAGCGCTAACACTCCCATCACACAGTCTTTCCTACATTCAACAGGGGCCTACTACCATCTAGACAGAATGCTAACTACCTCGCAGATAAAGCCCACCCTCCTACTCCTCGTCCCCAGCATGCCATTCCTCAACCTCCTCCCCATCAAAGCGGTCGGGGAGCCACCAATCAGAGCCGGCCTCGCTCCACTCATCTGCATCCCCATCTTCTCCAGCCCCGTACCCTTCCCCATCGCCGTCTTCCGCCTCCGCATCCTCCTCGTCCTGCTCCACATGCATGGCGTCGTCGTCCGCCTGCAGCACGTCCTCCGGCACGCGGGCCTCTTCGAAAAAGGGGTTGGGGATGACCTCGTCTTCCTCCACGTCGTTCACGTCGTGGAATGGAGCCGCTGCACAGAAAGAAGGATCAACTCCTTCACAGTTCAATGACGTGCCCGCCCAGCGAGGCAACCGAGGCTGTTGCGGGGACTCCGCCATTGTCACCTGCATGAATCCTCGTCGTGCGACGAGGGGGTGTGATTTCGTCCAATCAGGGCCTGACAGTGGGCCTTGTTGGAGCTTGCAATGTGGCAGCTAACCCTCGCGCAAAACGTTATCGCCCAGTCCTCGGTTTTGCGCACCCAACCAGCAATCTACCACCACGGCACAGATGTACATTTAGTACTAAACGTTTTACGCTATAAAAAAAATATACATTATGTAAAGACCCGGGTGCAATGTAGCTTTTTCCGATGACAAGACCCCCCCCCCCCCCCCCCCCCCCCCCCCCCCCTTTTTTGTGTGTAGTTATCATAGCACCCTAGGGTGGTATATCCGGGGGAATACGGTATCAGGCTTCAGCTCTTGCTAATCTTGCCTAATGACAAGTCGTCCTCAAGCATGGCATAGTTAGATGCACGATATAGACTGAATCCATTGTGGCAGCAGCTTGACTGTACCTTTGACTAATAACGAGGTTCCTTTTGAGATTATTGGCCGGAAAAGTGCAGCCGGACCGCGTGAGCGCATAAGCGGCACAGGGGCAGCTCCTTGAAGGACGAAAAGGAAATCCTTCTGGAAGCCAGAAAGCCTCGATGTCAGGCTGCCGTGACGCGGCTTTCGTGACGTCCTCGTCACCAATATCACCCAAAGCAGGTCGCACCACAAAAGGCGTTGAACGGATATTCTCAGGTGGTCCCACCCAACGGGCATATGCACTGATTTGCTCGTATAAGCCAAGCCCCGAAACCCCTCAACAAAACGAGAAAATATAATGTTCGGATGTAAAATGTATTTGCGTACGCTAAGTGCTTCACATAAGCGAGGTCTTACCTAAGTTTCTCGGTAACAACCGAAGAAATCACGAGGCTCAATCTGTAAGTGTAAGAATGTCGGGGTTAGATCACACATCAGTGTTATGATCTAGTAGAGAGGCTATAAGGGTAAGTAGCCTTTGCTCAACCTTGCCATCCATCCCCCATTCATCCCGTCAGTCATGACTAGTCATCTTTACCTCTCCTCCAGACACTTCTCTCCACTCCACTACGCCTTGCAGTAGTGAAGCCATTCCTCATCCCTGCTTTCCTACTAACAGAGCCGAGCCTCCTATCCCTGATCAACTTTACCAAGAGTGAGGCTACAAACCTCTATGTTGAATCTTCCTGTGACGGTTCCCTTGTGCTAGGGATCCTAGTATACTACCGGTGAAGTAACGGTTGCACACGCGTCGCCTTTCACATCCCCGTCAGGCTCCTCTTCCCTTCTACTCTTTAGAGATTACGCTGCCAGCTGATCGAACGACTGCATTGTGAAATTCTTGCGCTAGTCCTTCACCTGATCGAAAACCTGTAACGTTTCCTCATTGCGCATTGGCGGTTCGACATTTATCAGTAGTAGTAGTGGCAACAGAGCGGCCATGCTAGCGCTTCGGCGTCTCATTGCGACACGTGGCAGCTCGGCGGCAGCCGTAGTAGTCTCGAAGCAGCTGAGAGAAGCGTGTCGCGAATTCAGAAATGGGAGCGACGCGTTCTGGCAAGACATAGCGAGTCGATCCAAGGACACTGGTGAGTGACGACGCGCGATGGATATTCCCCTTGACTGAAGTCAATCGGGGACGAAAATTGACATCATAAGACTCGACGATTGAAGCGATTAGTGTACTAACAAACGTCTACATGAGACCCATGGTTGATACATAAGACTCGACCTGTATGGTGTCGGCATCGGCCAAGTGAATATCGGAGCAGCTCTGGAGGCAACGTCGAGGAGAGCGGCAATGGGGAATGACTCTTTCCTCAATCCTCCCAGCCGCGCCGCGCCCCCCGAGCGGCACTTGGTGATGACGACGTCGGGGTCAGACAGGTTTCGCAACGTGTCGACGCTGGCGAAGGGGGAGGAGAGCCGCATGGCAGACGGTATCTTCCCTCATCCGCACCCACTTTCCCCCCTCCTCCTCCCCCTCCCCCTCCCCCTCCCCATCCCCATCCCCATCCCCATCCCCCTCACGCTCAGCCGCAACCCCCGCCTCCAGCCGCGCCAGCCGAGCGGCACTTGGTGGTGACTGCCTCAGGGCCGAACAGGCTGGGCATCGTGTCGACGCTGGCGAAGCGGGAGGAGAAGAGCCGCACGGCAAACGTTATTTCCCCTCATCCACACCGCTTTTCCCCCTCCCTGTACACCGCCCGCCAGCCGCTCCCTCCGAGCGGCACTCGGTAGTGACTGCCTCAGGGCCGGACAGGCTGGGTATCGTGTCGACGCTGGCGAAGCGCATCCTCGAGTGCGGGGGCAACGCGGAGGAGAGCCGCATGGCGAGCGATCCGTTCCCCCATCCTCACCCCCCCGCCTCCCTCCCGCCTCCCTCCGCCAGCCGCGTCCCCTGATCGGCACCTGGTTGTGACTGCCTCGGGCCCAGACAGGCTGGGCATCGTGTCGACGCTGGCGAAGCGGGAAGAGAGAGAGAGAGCCGCATGGCATGCGTTATTTCCCCTCATCCACACCGCTTTTCCCCCACCCCTTCCCTGCTCCCTATCAATCTCCCCCCCCCCCAGCCGCGCCCTCCGAGCGGCACTTGGTGGTGACGGCGTCGGGGCCGGACAGGCTGGGCATCGTGTCCACGCTGGCGAAGCGCATCCTGGAGTGCGGCGGGAACGTGGAGGAGAGCCGCATGGCGCGGCTAGCAGGAGACTTCTCCATCATCATGCTTATCCGCGTCGACGCCACGTGAGTGTGTTGGCTGTGCGATGAGCGCGCTGAGCGCGCTGAGTGCGCTGAGTGGGCTGACCTCACTGAGTGCACTGAGTGCCTTGAGTGCGCTGAGTGCCTTGAGTGCCTGGTCTCACTCTAAACTGTGCTAGAACATGGCGAGAGCCGAGTGTGGCGGGACTGGCGGGGGACTTCCCCATCATCATGCTCATCCGCGTGGATGCCACGTGAGTGCTGTGCTGAGTGCCTTGCGTGGTTTTAAGTGGCTTGCGTGGTTTGACTGCTTTGATTTCTTTGAGTGTGACTTGCTGCTCGTACGATGGCTCCACATACGCACACGTCATTCCAGCATCTCATCCCATCCCGCCCAGATAACGATGCACTGTCGCCCCACGTGCTCACCCCTCTCTCGTGCGCCGAGGTGATTTTTCCGTATATTAAAGAATCACTAGAGTCGATCTCTCTCTCTCTCTCTCTCTCTCTCTCTCTCTCTCTCTCTCTCTCTCTCTCTCTCTCTCTCTCTCTCTCTCTCTCGCACCTGCCCCGCCGCCTTCCTGCCCTCCGTCCTCCTCCCTCAGATCGCCCCGGATAGTGGAGGACCTTCGGCTCAAGCTGCTGGAAGTGAGATGATTTTCGAGGAGCCTCAAAAACCTGTCACCTGCCTGCTCTCCATCCCACCCTTTTTTCAGGTCGCCCCGGATAGCGGAGGACCTTCGGCTCAAGCTGCTGGAAGTGCAGGGGCTGCAGGTGAGAGGGAGGGGTGGAGAGCGGTGGGGAGGAGTGCAGGAGAGAGGGAGGGGGAGGGGTGCAGGTGAGGCATGGGGAAGAATACGGGTGAGAGGGAGAGGGAAAGGTATGAGAGGGAGAGGGAAAGGTGCAGATGAGAGGGAGAGGGAAAGGTGCAGATGAGAGGGAGAGGGAAGGGGGAAGGCGAGAGGGAAGGGGAAAGGACGCATGTGAAAGGGAGGGGTGCAAGTGTGGGTAAGGATGGGAAGGGGCGAGGTGAGATGGAGGGGTGCAGTTGAAAAGTGCAACGAACCAAACCTGCTATTATCCAACCCAACCGAACTCTAACCCAAAGCCGCATTCCAGTTCCCAACCCAGCTGACATTCCAACGCTCACCCCAATTTCCCCCCCAACTCCCGCCACATACCATACCATACCATACCATACCATACCATACCATACCATACCATACCATACCATACCATACCATACCATACCATACCATACCATACCATACCATACCATACCATACCATACCCTACCCTGCGTGTGCAGGTGAGCACGCAGTGGATGGTGGACGAGCGCAGTGAGAAGAATGCCCCAAAGCAGAAGTTCCGAAGGCTGGTGCTGGAGTGAGGAGAGAAATGCCCAAGGCTGGTGCTGCAGTGAGGAGAGAAATGCCCAAGGCTCGTGCGTACAATTTGACCTCGCGAGAAGCTCTTAACCGTGTATATTCATGAACCCATGACCCACTTGTCCACGTGTGCAGGTGAGCATGCGATGGACGGTGGACGAGCGAGCGCAGTGAGGAGAGACCAGGAGAGGTGTCTGACCGTGTGCATACCACACCCATTCAACCCTACCCACACCCACGCCCACGCCCACACCCACACCCACGCCCACACCCACACCCACACCCACACCCACACCCACACCCACACCCACACCCACACCCACACCCACACCCACACCCACACCCACACCCACACCCTCCCCGTGTGCAGGTGAGCACGCGGTGGACGGTGGACGAGCGCAGTGAGGAGACGGCACCGAAGCGCAAGTTCCGACGGCTGGTGCTGCGAGGAGCTGACAACCCGGGGCTGGTGTACAACGTGACGGAGTACCTGTCGTCAAAGAATATCAACATTGAGAACCTAGAGACGTTTACAGAGGAGGTGAGGGAATGCTTGGGCGGGTGGTCACGGAGGAGGTATGGGCGCGTGGCTGCAGCTTAAAGAAAGGGGCTGTTCAACCCCGGGGCCTCGTGTACATCGTGACTGACTACCTGTCGTCCAAGGACATCAACATTGAAAACCTGGAGACGTTCACAGAGGAGGTAAGGGGTGAGAGGTGAGAGCCCAGGGGTGAGAGGTGTGTGGTTGGAGACGAGAGGAGAGGTTGTGCAACCCAGGGCTGGTCTACAACGTCCCCGTTTACCAAAGCAGATCAACATCGAAAATTTAGAGACATTCACCGAAGAGGTGAGAGATTAGATTGTTAGAGTGGGGGGTCACAGAGGAAGTGGGGATGCCATGTGTGGCTGGGGAGGGGTTGTGCTGTTCACTTTCCGTTGGCCCATCTAGGCGCCCTTTGGAGGCACAGTGTTGTTCCTGATGGAGGGGGTGGTCGCCATGCCCATCTGCCTGCCAGCCAGCCCTTCGTGCCAGTGCTCACATGTGCCTTTGTGGCTCCACGTTTCCCTTCCCCAACCACGCAGGCACCCTTCGGAGGCACCATGCTGTTCCTGATGGAGGGGGTCATCGCCATGCCCATCCGCCTGCCCACACGGCAGTTGGAGCGGCAGCTGGACGCGTTGCAGCAGTCGCTGGGAGTGCAGATAGAGCTGCTGAACCTGGACCCGAAAGACATGGTGGAGGACTGGAGGTGCGTGTTGAGTTGACTGCATGGGGGCATGGGATGACATGGTGTGGGGGTGAGTGAGAGGGTTGCCCACGCAGCAGTTTGAGCGGCAGCTGGACGCACTGCAGCAGTCCCTAGGAGTGCGGTAGAGCTGCTGAACCTGGACCCCACCCCAAGGATATGGTGGAGGACTGGAGGTGCGTGTTGGGGTGACAGGGCGTGGGGGTGAGTGAGAGGGCAATTGGAGCGACAGCTGGACGCACTGCAGCAGTGTCTGGGCGTGCAGATAGAGCTGCTGAACCTGGTGTCCTCTCCCGCCTCCCCTTACGTTCTCTCCCCCTCCCAATCGACGTGCAGGGTGTGGCAGCAAACAATGGCGCGAAATTTGGGGCTACCAAAGCACAGTTTACTTGCAGCAGCTCCTGCTTACCAAGCGCTCTGCTCCCTTCCTCTCCCCCCTCCCTCCCCCAACCCCACCCCCCACCCCCCACCTGATCAATCTGCAGGGTGTGGCAGCAAACAATGGCGCGAAGTTGGGGGCTACCAAAGTACAGCTCACTAGCAGCAGCCAAACCACCCCCTTTCCACGTCTGAAGGCAAGGCCGCAGTCAGGAACAACCCGCCCCCCGCTGGCCAGAGAGGCATGTATATTGTCCTACACTGCAGTGTGCCTCAATGCGTGGAGCTAGGAACCTTGTTTGGTTGTAGAATAAGCATATAATTTGCTGCAGAAGCATATGCAAATCGTATCCCTCCAGTGGGAACGATATGCAACCAAGTGTAGTTAGTTGGCAGGCGACACGCGCCCTAGCCCAAGTACACTGTCTTGCAATACTATATAATGCTTTGCATGAGATAAGCAATAGGAGATTGAACCCTCTCAGCTAAAGCTTCCCAGCTCAGATGGTATGTAGGGAAAGTACCAGTTTCGGTGGATGTGTGTGTATTGTTTTGTTTGTTCAAGCGGGTGTTGGAATCACATGTGCGTTCCTTCCTTCATACCCCAGTGCGGGCGAGTTCTGCCAGCCCCCCACAAGGGGGTAGGCGGATTACGATCGACAGCCGGGGTAATATGACCTTCACCTTTACTGTCCGATTATGCCAATCACATGTGAGTGTAACTACCGAACAAGTGGAAGATGTTAATTGAAGATTTCTTTGAGTGTGGATTAGAACAGGCTTACGGTACGTACCAGCACGAATCATCTCATATGTTTACAACACACACAAATCGGCTCTCAAATGCGTGAGTGGGGCTTGCCGAAAGACTCTAAGTCGATCAACCACGAGACATCATCTCAAGCTGAAATCGGAGGAAGGGAAAGAGGGCGGAAGAGACAGGGTCCAGGACTCCTATCTGAGTCCCCATCTCCTCCATGTGTTTCCATATGGAGTCTAACATCGAGGTGGTGGTTGTGTTGGTCGTGACATTTCTTCGGGTGGTCGTGATTACCAATTTTAGATTCGGGGTGGTGGTTGGCTGGGTTGTTGCGGCCATTTCGACTGGAGTGGTGGTTGGTGTCAAAGTTATGTTTAATATATATCCTGCGTGCTGTAGTTACTGCAGTTATTGTTCTTAACTATTTGGTGGTGCACCACTGTGCTCACCTTCCCTTGAACTATATCATGTATCTTGCTCATTAGTGTAAGCCCCTCTTCCGTTTCTCTCGCTACTCTCTTACCCCAAAACCCTAGTCTACTATGGACGTGTATGAAACTAATTGCAGTTCGACAATGGGTTCGAACTTAGGGTGGTAACCCATTTCGTAACGGTTCGCGAATGCTTTCGCCGATACGGGGCTTCACTACCCATCTGTCAAATGTTATAGCCCTTAGTGGGTCATACTATATGGGGTACAAACAATTAGGGTTAGGTACTTGTACCCCAACTCAATCAATGCAAGCCATTCCGCTGTTCTCAGTTACTAAGATGGTATCAGCAGTAGGTTCGTTGTTCCTAGGCCTTAGTCACCTCCGTTCCTAGTCCTATGCCGTCCCTAGCCAGCGCCCTCGCCCACGACCTAGCTACCGCCCTGGACAACGCCCTAGCCAGCGCTCTAGGCTCTCCCCCCCCCCTCCCCAGCAGGCCCGCCAGCGCCTTAGCCAGCTGGCCCGCTAGCGCCTTAGCCAGCAGGCCCGCCAGCGCGCCACGCCAGCGCGCCACGCCAGCGCGCACGCCAGTGCACCACGCCAGCGCGCACGCCAGCGCGCCACGCCAGCGCGCACGCCAGCGCGCCACGCCAGCGCGCACGCCAGCGCGCCACGCCAGCGCGCACGCCAGCGCGCACGCCAGCGCGCCACGCCAGCGCGCCACGCCAGCGCGCACGCCAGCGCGCCACGCCAGCGCGCACGCCAGCGCGCACGCCAGCGCGCACGCCAGCGCGCCACGCCAGCGCGCACGCCAGCGCGCACGCCAGCGCGCACGCCAGCGCGCCACGCCAGCGCGCACGCCAGCGCGCCACGCCAGCGCGCACGCCAGCGCGCCACGCCAGCGCGCACGCCAGCGCGCACGCCAGCGCGCCACGCCAGCGCGCACGCCAGCGCGCCACGCCAGCGCGCACGCCAGCGCGCCACGCCAGCGCGCCACGCCAGCGCGCACGCCAGCGCGCACGCCAGCGCGCCACGCCAGCGCGCCACGCCAGCGCACCGCCTGCGCGCCGCGTCGCCCGCCGACCAGCGCGCCGCGTCGCCCACCGGCCAGCGCGCCGTGCTGCCCCCCCTGTGCGCCTCTTACACTGCCTCCTCGCCTCCTTGCCTGCGTGCCTGCCCACGTGCCACTGACTGTCTCACCCTCCTGCGGCTGGTAGCCGCGCTCTCTCGTTTTTCGCCCCTTATGGCGACCACTCGAGTACTTCGATTCGACCCTGAGGGGAGACCGATTGACTTTAGTACGTGGCTTACGCAGGCGCAGCGCCACCTTAAGAGCCAGCGGCAGGATGGCGTGCACCTGTTCGCACACGCATCCGGTACTCAGACCGCCCCTCCTCAGCCTAGGCCGCTGCCCACCACCCCGTCGCCTACTCCTGAGCAGGAGGCCGAGTACCAGCGCCAGTTTCTTGCTCGCGACGTGTGGGAGTCTCGTGACGCCGCTGCCTGCCTCGCCCTGACCGACCTTCTCCCACCGACCGAGGCAGTCCACTTCACTCAGGTCGAGTCCGCTGCAGATCTGTATAAGGCTATTGTTGCTCGCTACTCCACTCCCTCCTCTGCCTCACTCAGTCGCCTCCTCGTCCCCTTTATCTACCCTGACCTCGCCTCCTTTGAGACTGTCTCTGACCTCACTGCCCACCTGCGCTCCCTTGACACTCGCTTTCGTGCTGCTTGCACTGAGGACCAGCTTGCCCTTGCCCCGCCCCCTATGTGGCTCACCATTCACTGGCTAGTCACTCGCCTCCCTGACCGCCTAGCCACAGCCCGCGACGCGCTTCTTCTGAAGCACCCCACTGAGCTTACCATCGATCTTCTTGAGACTGCTCTCTCGAAGATCGAGAGTAACCTCCTCGCAGTTGCCTCTGCCTCTTCTGCGCCTCCTCCTCGTCTTTTTGAGGGGTGTGCGGTACCACAGCTTCCCACCTTCACTGCCTCCCTTGCCATCCCCGCGTCTTCTGCCTCTGAGGAGACGGCGGCTGTTTCTGTCTCTGGCGGACAGAAACGTGGCAAGGCTAGCAAGAAGGGAGGGAAGGGCGGGGGTACTGGGGGTGGTGTGGGTAGTGGTGGCGGCGGTGGGGTGGGTGGTGGGAGTGGTAGTGGGGGTGGCTCGGGCCCTGACGGTCCTCCTCTCGACGGTGGAGTTATCACTGGTGGTGGGGGGTTCCAGCAGCAGCAGCAGCCGACTTCTCAGCAGCTGCCACAGCTTGGACAGCAGCAGCAGCAGGGACCGCAGCAGCAGCGACAGGGCCAGCAGCAGCGCCCACCGCAGCAGCAGCCTCAGCAGTGGGGGCCTCCGCAGCAGTGGGGCCCTCAGCAGCAGTGGAGGTCTGTGGGTCCCCCGAGCACTGGGCGCAGTGCCCCCCCCTCCAGTCGGGGACCTCGCTCGGCCGGCCGCGACGTTGGTCCCTGTGAGTACTGGATCCTTACGGGTCCTCGACGGGACTCGTACTGTGGCCGCCCCGACCACTCTGCTGCACGCTGCTTCAGTCGTCTCGACGACCTCTACCGTTTCCACCACGGCCCCTCTGCTCCCCCGCCGCCACGCTGGGGGACGCTTCTTGCTCGTGGCATTGCTGTTTTTGATATGACTATGGATGATGCTAGGTCTTATGCCATGTATGCTGATGTTGACTATAGTGCTCCTGGATCTGTGTACTTGCCTGTTGCTAGAGTAGGTGCCAGTGTAGGATCTTGTTTAGCTACTAGTACAGGTACTCCCTCGGCGGACGCGTCTCTCTCCTTCACACTGGACTCAGGAGCGTCGCACTGCTTCTTCCGCGACTGCACGACTCTCTCTCCGCTACCGGCACCTGTCCCTGTAGCACTGGCCCTCCTCGGGACCGGTCATTGCGACTCACGCCACTACACTCCCGTGCCCAGCTGCTCCTTCTGGTTCCCTGACCGGCCTCCACGTTCCTACGTTCTCTAGGAACCTGGTTGGTGTGGGCACCCTGGCGAGACAGCACGTCGGGGTCTGGGTTGAGCCTTCTGGTGACACCGCAGTCTGCGTCGACGGTGACACGTACGCCCCCTTGGCCACTTTCCGCCAGGAGCCGGGCTCTGGTCTGTACACCCTCCGCACCGACCCCCGTCAGGTTCCCCCGTCCCACCAGGTAGCCGGGTCCAGTCAGGTTGCTGTGTCAGGTGTAGTTGCTGCGTCGTGCTCGTGTCGGTCGCTTGCCCACCCCACTGTTCTGTGGCACCACCGGATGGGGCACCCGTCCCTTCCTCGTCTGCGCGCCATGTCCAGTCAGCGTCTTGTCTTAGGCCTCCCCCGAGTCCTCCCACCACTCCCGCCGTCCCCAGCTCCTCCGTGTGGTCCTTGTGTCCAGGGTCGGCTTCGCGCCACCCCCCACTCCTCCTCCCTTCGTCCGGCCACCGAGCCCTTCCAGACACTCCACTTAGACGTCTGGGGCCCCGCCTCCCGCCTTGGCCCTGAGCGGGAGAGTTTCTTTCTGGTGGTCGTTGACGATTACTCTCGGTACACCACCGTGTTCCCCTTGGCGAAGAAGTCCGACGTGACTTCTACGCTGATCCGGTGGCTCCTCGCCACCGAGGGCACTCGTGGTCGTCGTGTCAGTTGTCTCCACTCCGACCGTGGGGGTGAGTTTCGCTCCGGCATTCTCGCCAGTTTCTGTGCTGAGCAGGGCATCACCCAGTCCTGGACTCTCCCAGACTCTCCACAGCAGAATGGGGTTGCTGAGCGCCGCTTAGGCCTGGTCATGGAGATCGCCCGCACCTCCATGATCCACGCCCGCGCGCCCCATTTTCTGTGGCCCTACGCGGCTCGGTACGCCGCTCACCAGCTGAACCTCTGGCCTCGCGTCTCTCGGCCAGGGGCTTCACCGACCAGTCTTTGGACAGGGTCCCCTGGTGTTGCGTCGAGGTTTAGTGTCTGGGGCTGCTTGGCTCTTGTCCGCGACACCTCTGCGGACAAGATCTCG